TAAATGTATCAAAAGTATGTCTCTGTAATATTAGAATTCTCTGAGACAATGAATTTTGGTTTTTCATTTATTTTTTTTTTCCAGTAAGAGATTTTTATTTAATAAAATTTTTGGACCAAAAAAATCGCAATATATTGCCTTGTTTACATTATCTAAATAAATCGGGATATATCATATCGTGACCCCTCTATCATGATATGTATCGTATCGCCAAATCTTTGCCAATACACAGCCCTATTGTGTTCTCTGTAATAACAGGTCGCTGTGGACATGGAGTTCGCCAAGAACATGTATGAGCTTCACAAGAGGGTGTCGCCCACAGAGGTCATCATTGGATGGTGTGTTGGCTGTGTTCATGTTTTTACAGGGTTTTATTGGAAGGAGACAAAACACGCTTACACATTTCCTTACAGGTACGCCACAGGCTTCGACATCACCGAACACTCCGTGCTCATCCACGAGTACTACAGCCGCGAGGCCTCCAACCCCATTCACCTGACGGTGGACTCGGCGCTGCAGAGCGGCAAAATGAACATCCGCGCCTACGTCAGGTGGTCCCGCCCGGCCGTCACTGGAGCTTTATTCATGTTGTGATCTGCTAGGCTTGAGACTGACCTTCTGGACGTGTTTGTGTCTCCCTCAGTGCTCAGATGGGTGTACCAGGAAAAACAGTTGGTGTCATGTTCACCCCGCTTACTGTCAAGTACATCTACTATGACACTGAAAGGATAGGTGGTAAGAATGCAAAGACATGGAGACAACTCTGACTGAAAGTGTTTGTTTTAAAACAGGGGTTCTTAACCTTTGTGACCTCGGGGCCCAATTTATTGAACATAAAGTGGCACGAGGTCCAGTCAGACATTACCAATGTACGGATCAAAACGATAATTATTCTAAATATTGGTTTAATTTTTATTGTATTTACATTATAACTAAATTAAGTACACTTACATACATTTTAAAAGTAAAACTCCGGTCAAAAAATCACAAGACATGATTATGACAAACAATTTTATATTGTAACCTGCCCGTAACAATTATTTGAACAAATACAACAGTCAGTCAACAGACCTTATCAACTTATCAACACAAATAT